GACTATTCTATGATTGTCTTAAATCTTCTTACTTAATAAGTATTCATATTATAGCAATATGTATCAATACTCAAAAATTTATACTCGAGCATAAATAAATAAAATGGGGAGTCAAAGGGTAGTTTCACAAGGATGCATTTCAATCATTTTCTTACAATCATATAAATCATTAGATTAAAATATACTTTACAGTATAAGGTAGAGTTGTGATTTGACACTTCTTTATATATATTGTGCCTACATCTTCAATAGCTGTTCAATTGAATCGACGAGCTTTATAGTATCATGTGAAAACAAAAACTCACTGTGTGAGAAAAATTAAGACATGTATTGAATTCAAAGTCTTCATTTTTTTCCTCTCTATATTGTGTTATGAAGATGTTTTGGGGTAAGGCTTATCAATGTATTATTTCTTGTGCAAACATCATATAATGTTAAAAGTAAAATCACTCCAAAAAAGATTATAAAACGTAACGGGGGGTGAGTATTATAGAAAATGTTTTTCCTTGGGATAAAATTACAAACATTAAAAGTAAATATTTTTCTAAATGCATTCTGTATTATAAAGTTTATAATAATCTTTATATTTATACTCCTTCCATTAAAAAATATAAAATATTTTTTGAGGGATTATATATTGAAAAATATAAGATAGTTTTAATTTTTTAAGATGTAATTATTACTTTATTTTCAAAAGTATCCCTATTAAATAAATCACTTTATATTTTTTAGGGTGAAATATTTTATTAAATAAGGAAAAATATAAAAAAATAAAATTAATTTAAATATAAATAATTATTTTATTATAAATAAGATTCGTTTAAAGATGATTTATATTTTTTAATGAAATAAATATATCAATATTAAAGTTTATTTTAAAAACTTGAACCATCAACATCACTAGCTCTCTATATTTAATAGAGACTGAAATGTAAAGATGAAACAATAGGGGTTAACTCTAATCAAAGGAACGGGTGACAAATTGAGGTTTAAATTTTTATTTTTATTCATATTTAATATCTAACGATATTTTAAATAATATATTTTTAATAAAATATTTATGAAAAAAATTAAAAAAAAGGTAAATATTAATTCAATAATTTTTATCAAAAAGATGAATATGATAATAATTAAAATGTTTTATAAATAATACTCGTATTAAAATAAATATTTCTTCTATCCTACAAATAAAACTGAGGAATATTACATAATGGGAAATTAAGAGGAATGGGGTAAAAGAGAATATTAGTGCATCTGATCCTCGTTTAGGGCTGTCCCACACCTTCGCACAGTGACGCAGACCCTTTCACGTCTTAGACCCCACCACGTGTTCATGTGCTGAAGTGGACCTACAAATCGTATGCCTAGTAATTGGACACGTGTCGTTTTCGAAATGACACAAGCTCCTACACCGGCAAATAATATGCTTGGTAAGCTCCATCTATTTTCTGGTAAAAAAAAAAAAACTCCATCTATTTCTTTCTTTGGACCCACGTCCTTAAAATGCGCGTCTATCATTTGTTCAAAAAAAAATATTTAATCTCTATAATTTTAATTCAATTATAACTTAATTTTTAAATTTTAATTTATTATAATTTAATTTTTAAAATTTTGATTTAATGATAAATTAATTTTTGAATTTTATTTTTATAATTTAGTTTTTAAAATTTCAACCTCTTAAATATTGATCCCTACATTTAAAAAAATAAAGTTATAAAAATTTAAAATATTTTAAACTTTATTACTAATATCTTAAATTACTAAATTATTTTAATATTATTTTGATATTTATAAATATTAAAAGTTTGAAATATTTTTAATTTTTTAATTTTATTTTTTCAAAATATAGGGATAAATATTTAAGAGGTTAAAACTTTTGGGACTAAATTGCAAGATATAAAGTTTAGAGACTGACTTACAACGAAGTCAAAACTTCAAAAATTAAGTTATAATGAGTTAAAATTCAGGGATTAAGTTATAATTAAGTCAAAACTATAAAGATCAAATCATTAATTTTTTCAAAAAAAATGCACGTCTTTCAACATAAAAAATAAATATGAATTATTGGCAAACTGCATTTATTTTTATTTTTGGTGATTTCACCCATTTTTAATGTGGTTTAACACTTAGTATTAGAAAAATTAAAATAGCTAACTTTATAAATTGTTGGAGTCTATTTAATATTTATTTTCTTAAAAAGAATGGACGTATGAAATATTGTAAAGTGAGATATAAACAGCAAAATTTTCTTAAAATGTTATTGCCTGATGAGCCGTTATGAATAAAAATTCACTATATGCTTCCCAAAAAGTACATTTTAATTTATATAACTTCATTCTTATAAAAGAAAGGAAAGAATATTATAGTTTAAAAATAAATTTCAATTCAAATTATCCATTCAAACCAAACATTAAAAACATAATAAAAATATTTTACCAAATATATATAATAATGTTATTTAATACTCTTACCATGAAAATTCTACTATCAGAAGAAAGTAACCTCATTTTGTGCCTTTATTTAGAATTTGTCTCTAGTATTATTAGAGCTGATAGTTCAAACGGACTGAATTTATTAGAGTTAGATTCAATTCAAACTGAATTTATTTGAGTTGGGCTCAATTTAAATTAGGCTTAAAGTGTACTATCATTTTAAAAAGTTTATATAGACAAACATGGCTCTAACTTTTTTCGGGCAAGTTTAAGTTAGTTCATCGAATTTAGCTAAAATTATTGACTCTACATACATATAAAGTCAAAAAATTTAATAATCAAGCTTATTCAGGTTTGCCTCAATTTGAGCTGACTTATTCAAATTAGATTTAAAATATTTTATTCTATTAAAAAATTGATTTAACTAAGCTTGATTTTAATTTTTTTTAGATGAGTTTTGATTTAATCCAAACTATCAGTTCTAACCACTATATGACTAAATATATATATATATATATATATAAATATATAATAGTAATCAATGAGAAGGTTAAAGTGACATCGTAAACACAAAACACCATCATTTTCCATTACGGTCTTGAACTTATATTTCAAGAGACGAATTATAAGCATTGTTTTTTAGACGTTACGGCCAGGCTTTTTTTTTTTTTTTTAAGTTAAGGTGAAATTTTACTCAAAAACTATTTTGTGAGAAATTATTAGCATCTTTAACTTAAGTATGGCACAATTTTATCCATAAAATAAAAAAATAGTGTAAAAATCCCCAATTTATATCGCACTTGGAAGCTACCATAACTTAAGTATTTCGTCATCCATCATAGTCACATAAACACATTTTGATTTACAATTTATCCGTAAACTACCCAACACTTGCCTCTCTCTTCTTCAAACTATCTAAGTTAGTTCAAACCTTCTTCTCTCACTTTCTAGTCATGGAGTGTGATAAAATAAAATATTTTGCTTAAGATTTATGCCAGTTACGACAAATGTAAACACTTTATTTTCTCAATTATAGTTTGAGTCTGACAAAATCTCAATTATTTTGACATTCAAGGTTAATATTTGCCAATTTATATCTTTGTTTAATTTTAACACTATTTTTTTACGTTTTTTAAGCAAAATTGCACGAGTAGTTTTGCTTCTAACACGTATTTTACACGTGATATAATGGGTGAGAGCCATAATCCTTACTTAATGGACATTTGAGTTTTGTTACATATTAATTTGAAAATTTTACACTATTTTTTATCGTTCATAGATAAAATTGTACCACACTGAAAGTAAAGATACTAATAATTCTTTACAACATATTCTATGAATAGATTTTCACTTTACTTTTTTGGATTTTTTTGCGGGTGAGCAAATGCACACAAGAGGAAGATGTTTAATTTGGCATAATTTTAAAGATATTTATAAAATATAGAGTTAATGAACATTCTATATTCTAAACTATTACATGAATAGCATGAATTTTGAATTTCTTAAATTTGTAAAAATTTTCTCAATTTTTAAACTTTAAATGCCTGAAATTTCATCATTAAATTGGGAAAAAAGACCGTTATGTTTAATTTAGATGCTCAAAATTTAAAGTTGAAGAAAATTTTTGTACATTTTAAAAGTTCAGAATTGAGAATGCTATTCGAGTAATAATTAACTCCCTTCTTTTTATATATAAGATATTTTTAATTAAATTATATAAATTAATAAAAGTTAATTATCTACTTAAAAGCACAACACCATTCTAATTTTATCTTTAATTATTGTAAATAAAAAATAATATATTTTTGAAGGAAATTTATAAGTTCTTATATTTTTTTCCTTTTTAATGTAATAAGAATATAATAATCTATTTATTAAAAAATATGTTAATAATATTTTCTATTTATAGATTTTATATATAAAAATATAGGGAATAGAGTCTAAAATGTTAATTGATCCTAAAACACCTCTGTATCTATTCCAAATATGCGCAAATGTAAATTTGGTTGCACAGCAATCTAGAATATATTTTTAAAAGGGAGGAATTTAAAACTTATGAATATGCATAGCCGTCTTTGCATGGTCCACAAATCTAAATCATTTATAATATGAAATTAATTTATTCCCAAGTAGTCAGAAGGCTCTTAAAAAAAAACAGAGAGAGGGGGAAAAAACAGAAAAATCTCATATACAATTTCTCTCTACTGTCCCAATTTCCACGGTCCACACAAGAAGCAACAAGTAGGAGTGTGTGTCCCCAGCCCCACCTTCCCGCTTTCGCTTTACAGCACACAGTTTTGAGTCTTTCGGCCCCACTCCACCTCAACTGGGCCCCACCATCCCTTGTAATCCACTTCTCTTCACGTGCGCACGTGATCTCCTCCCTCGCCAGTCGCCTCCCACCTCACGTTGTTCCCACTCCACAGACGGCAAACCCTCCACCCACGTCATCAATGGCGGATTCCGTGATAACGAGAACCCCACCACCTTTCCCTTCCGTCTGGGAAATTCTCTTCCAGAACGCATCGTTTTAACATGCTTCTTGTGTTTTCTTCGTTTTCCTCACGGCTATGAATAGCCGGACTTGAGCTGAAGCTCCGCCTTATCGTAAATCTCTAATGAGAATTTTCTTAGCGTCTGGGTTGTGCTTGAGGTAGTGGCACCAGAGGTTGAGCTCGTTGCTCGAATCGTCGGTTCAGTCGGCAGTTTCCCGGACGGAGCAGTTGAGCACCGAGGTATTGTCGCCGCTTGGAGCTGAACCGGCGCTACAATGTTCTCCATTAACGAGACGAAGGCCGATATGGGTCTCGCCGGAATGGTTATCAGAGGCGTCGCATTCACCGGGATGGCGAAATACTGCTGCTGGCTGGAGGAAGTTCCGGCGAGGGAACCCATCGGCGGGACCAAGAAGCACGTACCCGGTGGAACGATGACGTTTGATGGTATCGCCCACATGGGCACTAACCCTTGCGCTAACGGTATTGTTGCTTGTTGGATATTATCAACTGTTGTGATGCTTGGCTTTGTCGTCGTCGCCGTTGCTGATATCGGGGCAAGGCCGACGGAAAGTGAAACGCCGTCGTTTAGCTCTGCGTGTGAACTTTTCGTCGATCGCTTTTGTTTCTTTCTTTCGGGTGGATCATCGGGTTCGGGCTTGTTGCTGGCGGATGTGGTGGTTGGGATTTTAAGGGTCCCGTTAACAGACATGGCTATGGCGGGGACTGTGCCGGTGCCGGTGGCGGCAATGATAGCGGGCTCCGCATGTTCCAGAAGCCACCGGATGGTTTCGCCGTCGGACTTGTGACCCAATTCCCTGGTCAACTGGAAGATCCGAGCAGCGCACGTTGCGGGCATTCGGATCCTCCGGCCTCGCCCCTCTACCTTGGTGTGACGGTCCTTCGTCGAAGCCTTCTTTTGCGGCACGTGCACCGCCACCGGCATAACCTGCATCGCCTCCGGGGACCGCTCCTCCGAATCCAGCTCTTCTTTTGGTCCGTTTATCGGAGCCTTCGTGGGTTCTACTTCTCTGCCGGCGTGATGACCACTGTGAAGCCTGAGATCTACGCTTCGTGGATCCTTGAATTCAACAGCGTGTTTCTGAAGAGCAGCCATGTTTGAGAGAAAAGAAGACCACGAAGAGAATATATGGGTAGAATCTGAAAGCAAGATAGATGAATTTACAAACGAAGAAAGGAAGGGAAGGCTGAAGCCAACGACATATTTAAAACGGCAGAGACAAGAAATTCTTCGAGCTTTTATATTATTCGTATTTTTCACATAAAGTATTTTTTAAAAAGATATTTTTATCCATCTAGAAAAGTTCTTTGCCAGTTTGAAGAAATAATTCATAATAATAAGGAACAGTAACATATATTATAAATTTTACATTTTTTTTGTTAATATTCACCTTTTAAATAAAGAACTAGGACATATACAAAATTGTATTAAATTAGTATTTAGATTATATAAATTATTAATGATAAAAAAATTAATTCTATATAATGTTATTACGATTATGTACATGTTTACTATTTATATTTTGTTATCTTATATGATATAATTATGTAACTGTACAAAGTGATATCATCATCAATAATTGATTCTATATATTGGTATTAGTATTACTATATATATCTATATATTGATTATTATAAAAAGAGGCACAAGACAATGACTTCTCTAAAAGATAATACATTATAATACTACCCTCACCCAAACAAATTGAATCGCAAAGTTCTATGGAATATGGTGCATTAGTGCTAATATTATGGCACTCTAGCTTGTTCCTTTTTTAATATAACCAAAAAAAAAAATAAATAGGCTATGCAAATATTAGCCCCTTTTATATAACTATTTGATTGTGTTAGATTTAAGTATTGTTAGACACAATTGAAGGTAACTCTTTAAAAAAAAATTTTACATTTACACGAATTTGAATTCAAAACCTTTTATTTAAATAGCCATAACTCTTTTATGAGAACCAACACTTGTTAGCAAGAATATTATATTTTTTTATTGCTCAAAGATATTTTTTTAATAGCTCAAATGTATCTTTTTATTAAAAACAATTATATTTGAGGCACAGTAATATATTAGATGTGGACATGTCTTAAATACAAAACCTGTTTGGATTAACGTCTGCATAACTACTAATGTGATTCTAATGTTCAGAGAATCTTTTATAAAAAGTTAATTTGACATACTGAAACTTGTTTAAATGATATAATTAAAAAAACAGGTTCAAATATATATTAACTAAGAAGGGCAAGGACTGGTAAAATAAAAAAATAAAAAAGACATGAATTCTATGTTTTCTCTCCTTCTCACACATATAATTGTGCAATTTGATAAATTTAAGAAAAATGTTAAAACCAAAATTGTAACTGTAAAACTAAAAGAGTTCATGTATACTAAAAAAACTTAATTAGATTTATTTAACTAATATATATAAATTACAAATAATAAAAATTTTAAATTTATCAATAATAAAAACATCAAATTTCAAAAGAAAGCGTGGAAGCATAAATATGCTATTTAATAAATTTAAAATGCATTAAATGATGCTAGTTATTATATTTTAACGTAATTAATATAAAAATTTTAAAATTTACTCCCTCAAGATATTTTTAATTAAAATTTACCTCAATAAATTAGTTATATATTTTCAAACTAATCTTATCTGTTCATGTTTACCTCCATTAAACACCTTACAATAAATATAAAATCATTTATCAATAGGGACATTATTACATTTTAAAAAATTAAAAAATAATTTATATTTTTAAACATCTAAATTTTTAAAAAATATTTTATAGTTTTAAATGAAGGGATTAATTTTTTTCTAACTATAATTGAAAAAGAAAAATTCATTTGTTCTTACCCAAATATATATATGTATACACATTAAGTCAATTACATGGAAGCCAAAACAGCTACAAAAGCACACAGTGATCTAAGGGCACAAGAGCGTTAGTATGGCAGGTGGGGCCCTCGTTGGTTTGATGTGGGAGGATTATGATAATTTATAGTATGTATGGAGGGAACGGACGTGGAAGTTGCGGGAGCCATAAGAGACTAAACACGTGAGGGTGGGTGGGTCCCCCTATGATCCCATCTCGTTCCATTCTTCAGCCGCTGGGGCCGCCAGTCCACCACCACCGTTTGGAATATTGAATCACTTTCAAGTCAACCTTGTAAATAAACTGAACTTCTTCTTCTTTTTATTTATAGGTTAATTTTTTAAAAAAGAGATGAGATAATTTTAAGAATATCAATTAATTTTAACTAATTGTGATTTATAAATAAGTATTAAGAATAATTTTTCTGTCAAGGTATATAATAATATACCATGTTATCATGTTAGAAGCAAGTACTATCATTAGTTTGAGGGATCATTCGTATAAAACATAAAGTTTAATAGGATATTTGATTAATTACAGACCCTATTAGCCAAATAATGAAATGATTCACAGGAATGAGATTCTTTACTCAACCTTGAAAATTTAAGAGGACTCTTTCACCGTTATACATTTAGGACTTTTGCATATATAATCTATATACAGGATTAAATCACATAAACAATCTAATATTTATTATATTTTATATTATGATCAGTTTATTATATTTATTAATGATATACTGTTATATATCAATAATAAACTTCTTGTATATTAATAATAAATTTTTTGTATGTTAATGTAAATTAATTACACTTTTAAATTTATAAAAATCTGATCTATATTTTTTGGACACAAAATTTTTTTGGCCAATGAACCAATTTGTCCTAAAAAATTTGATTTAAAAAAGAACATTTATGGATGGGACTCTCATCCACAGAAAAAATTTGATATAGCAAGGATATTTAGGAAAAGGTCATTCATTCCTCAGTACAAAGTTGAATTAGTAAAGAAATTAACGAGTAACGATAGCATAATAAAATACAACAATATTCTCGCTTCAGTTTAGCTGCCCCTTCTCTATTTTCGAAACTTATATTTTAATTTAACTTTTAATACTATTAAAAATATTCTACTATTAAATTAGTCTCAAATTATGTTAAAAACTTAAAAATGTATATTTGCCTTCATAATCAAATTTTCTACTCCTTCTCCCCTCCCCACTTTAAAGAATTTTAAATAATTAAATATGATAATATAAATAAATGTTTTACACAACTATTTAAAATAATAAGGGGTTAGAAGGCAATTTAGTCTCTAAATTATATGTCCATGAATATCTAGAATCTTAAACTCATTTTTTTTATGTAATATTCCCCTCAACTTTTGAAAATGATGCAATGTAATACCTACAATTAACAAAAGTTAACTTTGATAATTAATTGTCTAAAAAATGATGGAAAAACTAAAAATTATAGAAAAGAACCAAGAAAAATACAGAAAAGGACCCAAAAAGTATAGACAATGACCCAAAATATTACAAAAAAAGGATCTAGAAAATTTTCTTGGTTGTTTTTTGTAATTTTGATGTATTTTTCTATCATATTCTGATTAATTAACAGTTAAAGTTAATTTTTATTAATAGTAAAAGTTGCATTGCATTATTTCTAAAAATTGAGAGGAAAAATTATACAAAAAATGAGTTTATAGTTTCAAACACTTTTAGACTTATAGTTTATGGGTCAAATTACAATTTAACCCAATATTAAATATAAATTATATTAAATAAATTAAATTTTAAATAAAGATAGATATTTCATATTACTCCCTTCATCCCAAACTATAAAACAAATTTAAAGAAATATCATTATCCAAGATTACATGACAATGTGACAAAATAGTATAGTAAATTGAAATGATTGTAAATTTAAAAAAAATTATTTTTAAAAGTTTATATTTTTATTTTTTAAAAAATAAGATCTTAAAATATCATTATTGAGTTTTGCTAGTTTGAGCAATTTTATCTCAAATTGTCTTGTAAATTGTAGTCTTTTTTTTTTCCCAGAACAAAGGGTAGTCTAAGTTTGGCCCTAGACTCATAAGATTATTATTTCAAATCCTGTTATTATTGTAAAAATATTATTGATAAACGATTTGTAAATATTTCTTAGCTTGGAGAAATGCAATTGCCTTGGTAAGATCTAATAATCTAACTCAGCTAATTCTTTTTAATTGTAAAAAGGATGCACCTCATTTAAATCCTTTCGGGTTATTTATTTATTTATTGACCCATCCGTCTAGTAATAATTTATTGTGTACTCCATAGATGTAATAATATACTTTTTTTACATTTTTATTACAAGACACTTTTAATCATCTCACTAAGTTAATTCACTACCTTTGTTTTAAAAAAGAATAAATTTCACATTTTATCTATGTTTAAATGAAACTTTTCAAATTATATTATATTCTTTCTCATAATCAAAGAATTTAAATAAAAATAATATTAAAAAATATGCTCCCTTTGTTAAGACATTTTTTGAGTGATTGAATATTTAAAAATATAAGACATTATTAGTGTTTTAAAGTGTAATTGTTACTTTTTTAAAAGTATTCCTAATGAATAAATTATTTTATATTTATTTTAAAGTAAAAAATCTTATTAAATAGGGATAAATATAGAAAGATGATGTTAGTTTGAAAATAATTAACTACTTTATTGAAGAGTAAGATTTAATAAAAAATATCTTATATTTTTAAATAAATAAAGTAATTAATACATCACTAAATACCTTATATTAAGAATCACCCCTCTATTTAAAAATGTAAGATAATTTTTTCATAGGTTGGATGTTTAAAAATAAAAGTCATTTTTAATATTTTAAGATATAATTATTATATTTTTCAAGTAATACCTAAAAAAATATTTTATATTTATTTTTAATTAAAATAATTTATTAAATATGAATAAATATAAAAAATAATGTTAATTTAGAGATAAATAATTATTTTATTAAAAGGTTAAATTCGGTTAAAAATAAACGGAGGAGTATCAATCTTTTTAGGAGAGGATAGTATTGTTTAGTTGATATTGTTCACCTTCACCATTTTCAGGATGCCACGTGTCGAGATCTGAGACCCTTGGGTTCCGCAAGCATGGCCCCATCACTTTACGTGGGCGCATGGGCAGAAGGGGCCCACTTTATCTTGAAGGAT